GCCTGGCTGGTGTCACTACTGCTCAAAGAGCCGCCTCGCCCATTGCTGCGGAAGGCGAGCTCGGGCTTGTTGAGCACGTTTCGCCTCCTAAGTCAGGTAAGTGACTTGCCCCCGGCCACACGGTGAGTCGCGGGTGGACTCCGCACTAGGACTTGGCTTTTCAAACCTGTGAGTCCGCAACAAGTCTTCTCCTCCATGCGGCTTCTCCTACTTGATACTCGAACGGCTCTTTGCTGTTTATAAAATATTTTTCCTCCTAGATCTTCTCACGTCACTGGCTTCAGAGGCACAGCACGGCGGAATGGCTAGAGAGCGTGGCCTCTGGAGTCAGACAGATGTGGGCTCAAATCCGGGCTCTGTAGCTTCTTAGCTCTGTGTCTTTGGCTGCGTCACCTAACCTCTCTGACTCTTACCTAACCCCTAACCTGCACTCCTGTAAAGGTTAGATGCGATCATGCATGAAAGGCCATGAGCACAGCAAATGGCACACAGTAAGCACTCAGTAAATGCTAGCTATGATTATTATCATCATTGTCACTGTCATCCTTATTCCTAGTGGCTCCCTAAGTACACTGGAAGGTACGTTCTCACAACAGCCTTCTGAGATGGGCGATGCCGTCCCCATTTTGTAGATAAGAAAAGAGTCAACAGGAAGGTCACGTTTTTCAACAGCCCTGGTCTCACCGCTTCCGCTCCTGCCCACCCGCAGTCCATTCTCCTCACAGACACCAAGGGGATCTTTTATTAATTAATTAATTAATTTATTTATTTATTTTTTGAGACAGAGTCTCGCTTTGTTGCCCGGGCTGGAGTGCACTGGTGTCATCCTAGCTCACAGCAACCTCAGACTCCTGTGCTCGAGTGATCCTCCTGCCTCAGCCTCCCGAGCAGCTGGGATTACAGGTGTGTGCCATCATGTCTGGCTAATTTTTTCCATTGTTGGTAAAGATGGGGTTTTTGTTTTTGTTCGGGTTGTTTTGGACTTCTTGCCTTCAGGCGTTCTTTTTGCTTGGGCTTCCCGGGTTGTTGGGTTTCCCGGGTTGGGCGGTGCGGCTTGGCCCAAGGGTTTTTTTAAAATTGCATTCGGGGTTGGGCTTGTTGTTGCTTGTTGTTGTTTTCGGTTCTTTGGGGGGTTGGGGTTGCGGGCCCCCGGCTTGGCCGTTTTGGCAGGCCCCCTTCCCCCTGCTTCCCCCCAAAATGCAGTCAGAACTTATTTAGGAGAAGATGCTCTCTGGGTAGTGATATTATATGATCCACCACTTCTTTGTGATTTAGGTGTTAAGAAAAATTAAGAGCATTGCCATGGTTGTTGACATTAACACAAAGGGGAAACTGAGTGAAAGGCATATGGGAACTCTGTTACCATCTTGGCTACTTCTCAATAAATCTAAAGTTGTTCCAAAATAAAAACCTTATTTTAAAAAATGAAATCGGATCATGTTACTCCTCTACGTAAAACCCTACAGCGACTTCCCACTAGGCTTAGAATAAAATCCAAAAGTTTTTCCATGGCCTGTAAGGCCCTGAGTGATCTGGCCTCTGCCCACTTCTCCAACATCCCCTCCTCACACTCTTCCCCACCTCTCACACTGCATTCCAGCCAACACTGGAAGACTGTTGCTGCCTCAGGGCCTTTGCACTTGCTGTTTCCTATGTTGGGAATGATCTTACCCTAATGTATTAATAGTTCTTTCATGACTTGTTCTTCTTTATCCTTTAGATCTTGACTCAAATGTCAAATCCTCAGAGTTCTCCTATGTGGTCACATGATCTCTTCTCATTTTCTCATAAAACTCACCCCCCTCGGAAATTATCCTGTCTGATTGGTTTCTCTGTTCCTGTTTGTCTCCTCTGCTGCTCTGGGAGCTCCACGAGCACAGAGACCATGTCTGGTTTATTCACTGCTGTGTCCCCGCAGTGCCTGACACCAAGCGAGGCCTCAATAAACATTTGCCAAAAAGAATTCCAGTGTCTGCTGGTCACACCACAGGACATTGAAATAACTGTGGACTTTGCCGAAGAGCTTTCACCCATATTCTTTCCCCATAGTTCCCTACTTTGTATAAAACTTTTATAGTGTTGAGAGAGGGCCAGATTTTGGGGCAAACCTCATCACCAACACTTCTTTCAATTATTTAACAATAATCCCAATACTCACTAAATTGGGGGAAGGGAAGGGAAAGAGTTCATCTCCAACTTTCTAGAACAGAGTTCCGAATAGTTGGCCCAGGGCCAAATGTAGCCCACAGACATGCCTTGTCTGCTTCACACTACCTTTTAGAACAATTTGAGTTTCTCATGACCACCTTTTAAAAATTGGAACATCTCACATAGAAATCTGTAAGTTCTACTTATGGATCATAGGATCTGGCCCATGGGACCCAAGTTTCCCACACGGCACCAGTAGACTGGAGCCGGATGCGGCTGTCCCCTCAGAGGGAACTCGGGCTCAGTTGGCCACAGCCCCACTCAGCCCGCCCAATTCTCGCATATTATCAGCCTGGTCCCTTTAGGCGCCGGGATCCCCCTCAATGCCTAAGTATCCTTATAGATACCATCGGGTTTCAGATATTCTAGCCTTCGCCCCTCTCTTATAACCTCGGTCCCCAAGATCTTCGGCAGCCCCCTAAGAAAGCTCCGTGGAGCCGGTAAAGACAGCACATCTGAAAAGTACATTTTAATCCACTCTCCTCATTTTACAGTCAAACTGGGGCTTAGGGAGGGGAAGGGACACCCCAGCTATTAGGCAGTAGCCTTTCCGGCAAAATCTGCTGTTCCTTAGGGAAGCCACTGGTGTTGATAATGACAGGGAAGGCCAATAGGCAAAATGAGTTCTTTCCTCCACGAGCTGCTGGCTGGCTCCTGGGCGCCGTCGAGGCCCACTCCTGTGAGCTCTGCCACTCTCAGGCTCCGAGCCAGCTAATCGGGAGGGTGTGCCAGCAAAACTGTACTCTGGAGGGGAGTTGCCCAGTGGAGAACAGCCGGGGGACAGAGGCTCTCCCCGTGTCCCAGCTCAGTCTGAAGTCCTCCTCCAGCCCTGACGATGTCGACAGAGGTCAACACACCTGCCACTTTGCGTTTGGAAAATTATGGCACTCCGATTGTGGGTAGAGACACATTTAGATCATTCCGTTGGGTTCCACACTGATCCTGTGCCCAGTACGTGTGGGTTGTGGTTCCTGCCGGGGATTCACTATGGGATTTATTGAACGTGAACGAGGGCTGTGGTTTCTGGCTGTCCTGAGTTCCAGCCCTGGCCCTGTAACTTACGGCGTGACCTTCAGCAAACAGCCCAGCCTATCTGTGCCTCACTTTCTTCATCTGTAAAATGGGGGTGATAGGAATAGTACATCATTCCTAGGACTGTCTTGGAGATTCAATGAGATGATTTTTGGCACATACTAAGAAAAGAAGGCGGTAGTATTTTTTTTCTCCTCTGCTCTTAGCAGAAGCTGATATTTCTTTGCATCTTTGTTTATTGTCCACCCAGCTTACTAAATGACTCTTCTTCACTGAGAAAAGCGTCTGTCTTGCTCACTCTTGCTTCCCTGCCTACAACAATGACTGGCACAGAGTAGGTGCTCCATAAATATTTGTCTGCCGAATGACTCACTGTCTTTCATATTTCTGCTCTAAATGCCATTTAGATGATGCAACCTGCCCTGGAGGAGCCCAAGGTCTCGTGGACTCCAGGGAGAGCCATCCTGACCTGAACAGCCAGATGTTCACGGCAGTGCTGGGCACTGCCTCTGAATGTCACCACCTGGGCTCAGTGCCTTGGTCTGACCAAGCGGCACTCGTGTGACTTCTGGTGGACAGAGCCGTAGCATGAGAGACCAAGTTGGTGGCTGGGCAAAGGAGCTAGAGGCTGATCCCTGAGCCTCAGCGGCCCGGTGCCAGCAGTGAGCCGGCACCAGTGAGAGGGCGTGGAGCCCGCAGGTGGCGCGCTCACCTGGATGGCATCCGGAGATGGGAATTCGTGCGTTCTGCGTGCCCTGGGAAACAAAGTGAATTTCTCTGGGGAGGGAAAGCGCTTTGTAAACTGTAAAGCGCCGCAAGAAGAAACAGATAAATGGAAAGGTCAGAAAAGACAGGAGATGTGTTTGCAGAGGGTGGGCTGCACTTCCAAACCCAGCTAAAGGTGACGCGCAGCCCCCAGAGGTGGTACAGTTTTGGGGACCCCCTGGAAAGGAGTGCACTTGGGGAGGCAGGGAAACCGGAGGGCAATGGGCCAAAGTTTCTCGGGGTGTCTCTAGAACCCGGGGCCCGCCCGCACAGCCCGCCTGCATAAACTCCGTCTTCTCTTCCCGCCCGGGGCTCGGACGCGAGAAATCTGCAACTTCTCTTATCTGCTGCAGGCGCTCGTTCAACTTCGACCTAGCTGGAATCAGGGTAACCGCTCCGATGATTACATAACTTTCTGAGTTCAAGAAACATAATCCAAAGGTAGAGATGATGAAATTTTTGGGGGGGATGCATATTTCGCCTCAAAGGTAAAGTTACAGAAGTGCACAAAAAAATATATGCGAATACACCCATATTCTCACCACTCAACAATGCATAACATCACTTTGACCTATCTGGAAGAGAGTTTTTTTTTCTTTTTAGTCACCAAATAAACCTTCCTTGTCTCCCAAGTCCCAGCATATCTGAATCCAAAATGAATCAACCTACTTCTCCATTATTCTCCCTCTCCACCTCCACCCCATATTTATTTTAAGGGGTAAATTCCAGGACCCCCGAAATCCCTAGTTAGGCTCCCACATGGCCAGGTCTGTAAACATCTGGCCTCAATGTACAGGATCCGGCGGAGGTTGCAATCCTCGGAGCGCACAGCTGCATTTACTCCCCCGGCTGCAGCTCCCACGTGCAACTTTGCAACTCACACTCCGGCCAGGGGACCTATTTACTCGACCCGTTTGGCGGAAGGATCCCGTGTGCGGACGCAGTTACGCTCAACCGTCTCCTCCCCCTCCCCAAGCCTTGGCCCCGCCCCCTCCCGCGCCCTGGCCCCGCCTCCCTCCTTCGCGCCCTATGGCCCATAAAGAAGTCCCGGCCGGGCCGCCGCACTCCTCGCGCGCATCCGTGCGCCGCCCGAGGCTGGCTAAGGAGTCCGGCGGCCATTTTGTTCTTTTCGTGGTTCCAGTGGGGCGAGAAGGAGGAAGCAGGGAGCGGGGCGGCTGGGGGGGGACCCGCCGCGGCTGCTGCCACCGCCGCCACCGCCGCCTCTGCTCGTGGCGTGCGAAAGGAGGCGTGAGTCCCGGGCGCGAGCCGGCGGCGGCGCCGCTGCGGGAGGGTCGGCAGTGGGAAGGCGATGGCGGATATAGATAAACTCAACATCGACAGCATCATTCAACGGCTGCTGGAAGGTGAGAGGGGCGGCGGGCGGGCTGGGGGGCTCGGGCCCGCGGGCGACTGGCGGCCCTGGGGATTCGAGGGAGGGGAGTTGGGAGGCCGGTTGGGCTTGCTGCGCCGCGGGGAGTGAGCCCCGCGAGTTGGTCCGCCGGCTGAGGCTGCAGCCGGAGGGAGGCCGGCCCGGGGTCCTGAACTTGGCGCCACCCGCCGACTGCCCTGGCTCCTCTCATTCATTGCATGGGGATGTAGCTTCTTTCCCTCTTGGCCGTGGAATTTGAAAACTCCACTCCCCACCCCCACGTTTCCCGCCTCTATCCACTTGCCCCCCCGCAAACTGGACCAGTCTTTGAAGAGAGAGGGTTGGGGGCCCCAGTCCAACCTACTGGACGGCGTGTGCCGTACTTTCTCTGCTAGATGGAGTTTGTGGTACTCGTCCTCTCGGAAAGCAGTTTGATGGGGGTGTGGGTTCCACCAGGTTTGGGGGCTTTTTTCTTTTCCTGCTTGCTGCTTTTATTTTTACTTTTCGTGGTTCTGGGGTCGGGGGAAGGATTTCTTGTTAATTGGTGACGAACGTTCGCATCTCAAGAGATGTGAGAACCTATCTTCTCTAGCCCCCAAATCCTTTTAAGTTGTCCTAATCTTGGAGACGTCTCTGCGCTGTTGCCCTGAACATGCATCCCAACATGAAGCCGGCGATGATGACAGTATCGTTATCTCACGTTAAGCGCTTTGCGTTCATCAAATTTTTACTATAATAATGATACTACCTAACGTTTCTAAAGCACTGTGTGTTAGACATTCTTTGAGCACTAACCACAGATTTCGTTCAGTTCTCCCAACAACCTTGCAGTATAGGTGCTATTATTTTTTCTTGTTTTACAGAAGGAACTAAAAGGTGAAGTCACTTGACCAAGGTCACACAGTTAGTGACAGGTTTCAAACCCAGGTAGCCAGGAGCTGGAACTGGCTACATTCCACTGTCACCCTATGAAGGAGGGAAGGAAGTGTTCAGTGGTTAAGCAAAGGTTAAAATAAAGCTTTAATTTTGGCTCACCTAAGCCATGTGAGGTGCCTGGCAATTGATTCATATTGATGTGGGAGAGGGATGAGGTTCAGATTTTAAAGAGGGAAGCTGAATTGAGCTGCTCTCAGATTCAAGAGCATGTCTATGGATGCTAACGTCTCATCCAAGACTTTGGAAGAATTCAGTCAAATCCCCTTTTTGATTTGGGCATTTGATATGAATTTGGCTGCATTTTAACTGCTTTTTGCCTTTATACTGTTTTCCTAAAACATTGTTGGAATATAAATGCTGTGATTGATGGAGTGTGAGCATGAACAGTTCCACAGCTCTGGTGTTAGAATTTGCAGACCTTTTAAAGTAAGTTATTAAAATGAAACTCCTGAAAATATCTCATCCTTAATCTGTGCATTCTTTCGTTTTATGCTTTATTAAAAGAAAACTCCAGTAAATGTCATTAAGGACCCCTGAAATGCTCTTGAAATGTCGCTGCTATTTGTAGGGTGAAAACCTTGTCACTTAGTGCCTGGCATACTTTTCATACTAGTTAATACAATTCTTTAATTTATATGAGGCAGCAAGCAGTTGGTGAGAAACTGATTAGTTTGTATTAAGAGGAACTTTTTATCACATATCTTTCTGAATTTTTAAATTCTACACATCTTTGCAGGGATGTGTGTGGCTAGACCAGAGTGGACTTTATTTCTCTGAGAAAACAGGAAAAATTGGAATTTGTATACATTAAAAACATCAGAATTTTAAGATCATTTAAGTATTGTTAATTTAAATTCTGGTTTGCCCATAACTGTCTCTGCATTCACATAACAGATTTTGTTAATTTTAATCTTTAAAGTCATGCAAAGAAATTTGCCTGGTAAATTTAATTCATCTAAAATGAGATCAATGGTTGTTTCTTCTTCTTTTTTTTTTTTTATGAGACAGAGTTGCTCTGTTGCCCAGGCTAGGGTGCAGTGACATTATCGTAGTGCACTGCAACCTCAGACTCCTGGGCTCAAGCGATCCTCTTGCCTTGGCCTCCCAAAGTGCTAGGATTACAGATGTGAGCCACCACACCCAGCCCTCATTACATGTTATATTGCACTTGAAAACCCAATTTTTTTAATGTATCATTTTTTGCTGAAATTAGTATAATAAAGCAGTGCATTTTAGTGCCTCAGCAATAGTCTAGTTGCACAATATACTTAAAATTCCTTTTTTTCTCATGGATGTTAACAGAGAAACAGTTGAAGATGATCCATTGAGGATATGTCTACATCTGAGTTAGAGGATTTTGATAATAAGTTTTTGTGGTTTTTGTAATGCCCCCAGAACCTTTTTCCCTAAAAATTTTAAGATTTAAGTATATCTGAAAGTGGAAGGGAATATGAAGTCTGTGACCTTTCAGACATTTTTACGTGTTCAGGATTGGTCTTTTAAGCTTGAGGGCTGTGTAAGCTAGTTGAGAAGTGGCTCGGTAATAGTACTAGAAAGGTAACTCAGAAGTGAAGTCTTATTTGAGAAAAACAGCATGTTGGTTTAGATCTTGGATCACTGCAGCTTTGCGATTCCTTTCTTCTCTAAACTCTGAGTAGTTTTAGTAAGGCAGGCATCACCTCTGTAACCCACCCTTGGAAGCTTTTATCCAAGCTCTGCCTTGCTGCTGATAAAACCTTAAAGTTGTTACTCCTTAGTATAACTGATATTAGTTATTTAAATAACCACACAGTAAAATGTGATTTAGAAAGTAAACCAGCTGATGATTTGGTCTGATTCTCTAATGTGTTGGAGAAAAGTGAGATTTGGGGTGTTTTTGTAAATGACCTTCAAGAAGCAAGGGTGGCTAGCATTTTTTTTGCAATGCAGGTGGTTATAACTTATCTTTATGCACATCCTGGTTTGCAGGAAGCTCCTCACTCTGAAGAAGGCCATTGTCAAACTGCAAGACTATGTCAAGCTCTGCCTAATTGTCTGACTTGCTTTAGTGATTTAAATATTAACATGACTTCTGCCCTGGCTCACAGAAAGTGTTTACCAATTGCATCCTCTGATGTATAAGGATTGTTCTATAGATAGTGTTTAGATATTCTGAAACTCTAAGATAGTTTAAATAACCCACACATTCAGCTTTTTTTGGTGTAATTGGAAACACGTTCGTATTCTAGTCTTTTAAAAAGCAGCCGTCTCTGGTCCTGAAGATAATAAAGGACAAATATAACGGTAAAAAGGGAGGGGCAGAGTTCTTAAAATTCTGACCAAAGAAAACAAAAGCAATCTTTCCTAATGAACATCTGTAATTATTTTTTACGCAGCAGATAGTTTTAACAATAACATCCAAATTGTGAGTTTCTAATTCCCTAATTTGTAAGAACTCAGTGTTGGGAGCCCTTCCATCATGTCAGTTGTATGCCCACTTCCTTTCCTACTAGGCAAGGCAGGGAAGTTCTGTTGGAGACAGATGATCTGCAGCTTTCATGAGTCCTTTTTTAAACCACAGCATCAAAAAAGGATTACTCTCTTGTACCCACGGTGCCCCCTCGCTTGTCAGTAGCAGGAGGCAGCAGTGAAATCTAACAGAATTGTGTACGTCATTCTGTGGTGCTGGGAGAGGCGGGTGACACCTGGGAGCAGAGGCCTGGACTCTCCTCAGAACTCGGGGAATGGAGGTGGACTGGGCGGAGCATTGGTAGCCCCAGCAGTAAGTAGGCTGTAGAAGTTGGTGAGGTGATTTTGGTTTTGAAATCACGTTCCTATTAGAAGCTGTGACCTGTTGTGCAAAATCATGTACCAGTCAGTCCATTTGACTAGGTGAGAATTACTGATCCTGAAGCAGAGAAATGATTGATCATATAGGGACTTAACCATTTCCCTTAATTTGCAATTGGGGCTGTTAGTAGACCTTAAAGATTGAAATGTGAGGGAGATAATATTCTGGGTGTGAATTGCTTTGTAGATGAGGAAACTGGACAGTCTTATTCAAGGGGAATAAAGATTTTATTTCCTTAGATCTTACGGATATGTAGGACAAATTTTTATATTTCAGGATCAGACCTCTGTATCCAAAACATGAAGAACAGATGGTTTATTTATGGATCTTGATGATTTATCTGAAATCTCCAGCTTCTCCACTACACTGGGGTTTGCGGGCATTTCTCATCTAGAGGGGAGTGGGTGTCACTGATAGTAAGGCTCATAGGAAATGAAAATTCATAGAATGTAGGGTCAGGTTGCAGTGGTATTTTATCAAAATGTGTTCTTAGACTGTGAAAAGTTAAACATTGTTCAGTGAACTCAAATGTAGAAAACTCAAGATACTTGATTGAGAACAGTGGGCAGTGTTTGGCAGCTACATCCTGACTAGCTGTCCTGAGAAAATTGGTGTCACCTCTAAATGCCCGAAGTATAGCCCCAGCAGTTAGAACAGTCAAGATGGGGGAGAGTATGGTGTGGAAACAATTAAGACGGTCAGAAAGTGTAAGTCTTCCAGCTGGTGACTTTGCAAAGAAACCGAAGGATTCTTGATAACATTTTTGTGGTTTATATTTTTTTGCAGAAAAGAACTGAGTTGTTTGTGGGAAAGTTTAATGTTGCAAATATTTACTGGTTTATTTTGTTTTGATTCGAGGTCTTAATTTCCTAAATCTGTCAAATATCATGATGTTATTGATTCACTGAAATAAATATGATGGGGCATATTCTTAAGATTACCACCTACTTTAATAGGATTATCTTAAAACAGCAAAATCTCTGTTGACTTATTTTTATACTGGTTGTGCCTTTTTTAGGTTCTAAAGCTTTATTCAGCTGCAGCTTTTTTTGGTGTGTGCTATTTCTTTAATATGATTTTCTTTCAACAATTAAGGGGCCTTTTTGTGGCAAGGAAAATATATTTTTATTCCTCATAAATAATCTCAAGCTTGTCTTAAGTTTCCTTCCATAGTTTTCATCTCTGCTTTGCTTGTTGCCAGGCTGTCAGAAGTTAGTGAGAATAAGCTG